CTTCATGTAGGATAGCTCTGTCTGTTTCCCCACCGCCACCTCAGTGTAATGGTATTCCAGTAGAGGAAAGGCAGAAAGTTAAGATAACCAAAAGAAAAAAATTACTGAATTATTTCATTTTCTCAGAGAAAACTATTGTTTAGTTTTAGATTATTTTCTCTTCATATTTTCTTCTATATTCTTACATTTAGGCTGAAAATAAATAGTTCATTTTTTTTGAACTAGTGGTTTTTACTTAATGAGCATTGTCTTTGTGTAATTTCATGTGTGTATTGATGGGTACACTACAGAGTGGGATCCTCTCTCGATAACAGAACAGAAAAGGAAACAAGCCCCCCCAATTCAAACAAACACACCCCTCCTAAATCCCCTCTGACATAATCATCTTTTTCTATGGAACTTTTTCCTTGATACACATCACTGTGCCTTAGAAGATGGCTCATTTCCCATTGAGACACAATGAGACATGCATACAGAATTTACTCAACTGGAACACTGTTATTTATGCAAAGATTTGTTTTGACTTAAGAGCCAGGAAGTTCCAGTAGAGCTGGAGTAGTTGTTTAAGCAGATGGATAGTCAAGGTGCCACCTTTGCCTTCTGTCCTGTGAATTTCTTGGCTCCTGCTGCTGACTTTGCAGTCCCACTGATGCCTGTCAACTCTGCCAGTGTATGGGTGGTGATCCAGTGAGAACTAGGTATCTACCAATAGACATTAAAATTAAAAGAAAGGAAGAAAAAGACTATCTCTGAGGCCAGGGACTAAGTAATAGTAATACCTGTGTGAGTCAGTGGAGATCGACTGAAGTGCTCGTGCGCGTGTCTTGTCATCCACTCCACTCTCCATATTTGACTCTGCTGGCAAATGGGACAATCATAGCTCTTAAGCATTGGAAAGCAGCTTTTGTTGTTTTGTGTACTATGTTTAACATCAAGGTTTGCAGCTACCTTAAACATACCATTTGTTTTGGAGAGAGAAAAGGGAGTAAAATAGGGAGAGTGGAGTGGAATTGGGGGGGCTGGTTTCCTTTGGTG